GTCCTCCCCATCACCATCATCCCCATCACCACTGGGTGGTGTGTGTGTGTGTGTGTGTGTGTGTGTGTGTTGGTACTTCTTTCTTCAGCTGCTGCAGCTCCTCCCTGTGGCGGCTCCTGTCGGCCTCGGCTGCGTCCCTGTCCCGCTCACACCCCAGGGCCCGGGCCTCAGCCAGGGCCCGGCTCTTCTCTGCCTCCCCTCTGGACACGTTAGCGTCATCCGCAGCATGGGAACACAACGTCGCCCTCTGCTGGCTCTGATACAGCTGCTGCCTCAGCTGATTGGGGTCAAACTGTAAGACCCAGGTGTGTAGGTGTGTAGGTGTGTGTGTGTGTGTGTGTGTGTGTTGACGGCTGCCTGTAGACTGGAACCTGACACCTGGTATTACACCAGGTGTCTTCAACCAATGGAAACATGAATGGATGTTGTCCACAGTATTAAAGAACAGAAAATAGATTTGTTTTCAGTATTTGAGTCTCATCACACATTTGTCAAAACTCTGTCTGATCTTTATATGAAGCCAATCAGCTCAGGAATCGTACTGGACAGAAAGTCAGCCAGGAGTGTATTTGTCCCGTACTGTACCGTACTGTGCCGTACTGTGCCGTACTGTGCCGTACCTCTTTGACCTGTGCCTGCAGTTCCTGGTTGAGGTTCCTCAGGTTCCTCATGGTCAGCTCGTTATCTTTGCGCATCATGATCCTCTCCATGTGGATCTCATTTAATAAGTACTTGTTTTCTTTCTTTAACTCCTCGCCTTCCTTCCCCTAAGTTCTACGTTATTTGAGTTGGTGACGTGCAGAAAAACAGGGAACGTGGAAGATTTACTCCAGCGAGGGAGGTGAGGGAGCTCAGATGATCTAATGATAATCCTCTCCAGACATAATGGATGGGTCCACTGTATGGACAGTGCTTTGAAATACAGCTGCTTTTTTACATCTCTGACTTCAGGCCTCGGCAAACTGGCGGCCAGAAGTTAGGAAAACCTTGATTCCACCAATCGGGAATCAGGAATTGCGTGCTCAGGTATCTCAGCAAATGAGATGTTTGGCTTCCTATCACTGACTCCTGCTGATGTATTTACAGTTTGGGTTAAAATGTGATGTTTTCATAACTACGTCAGGAGGCTTTGATCAACCAACGTCATGGATTTACTGTCGACGTCTACGTTAGCACGTGAGTACAGTAAGTCTGAGGATCGGCCTCAGCCTGTCGTCTGATCAGACAGTATTTATGACATGGACACAGCTGCTGGCAGAAAAACAGTCTTGTCTTGTTTTCAAGATGTGACTGTTAAAGGTCATCTAAGGTCATGCACATTCAGACCACAGATCTCCAGACTCTAGAACGTTCTTCGTAGAGAACTGAGGCTGATCTCCATTTCTTCATCATCTAACAATAATCAAAAACAAAGTTCAACTTCTATCTTGTTGTCACTGTATTTACCTTCCTTTTTCTGACCAGCTCCCCCTGCAGGTGATTCATCTGTAGAAAAGATCCGTTGGAGTTGACGGCACTGACCGGCCTGACCACTCGCACGGGTCTCCTGGTCGGCCGAGAGAGACCTTTGACTTCTTCTGATCCCCCATTCCTGAACCAGCTGCCTCCGTTGACATTAGTGCTGCTCATGGGGAAGGGGTTGTACGAGCCCTC